ACGACAAATAGAGATGAAACAATAAAAAGTAAAGAGTTAAATATTTTACAATAATTTTAATGAATATAAATTTTAGGAAAATATAATAATGAAATTTATCTAATACTAAAAAGGTAAATATTGATTGGATTACCAATATCCGGCTATGAATTGTATTTGTTATTATTGAATGTGTTGCAATTTTTTTTTATAAATCTGTTAATGAGAATTTTTATTATTAAATGTGTTAAGTAGTTTTTTTATTTCTAAGTTTGTTAATGAGATTGTGGCATCAAACATAATTGACAGTTGTCGAGGATCAATATTAATATTTTCATAATTTCTGACTCTGCAATTAATTGTTTAATCTGATAGTGAAAAAATAGTTGATCTGATTTTGGTTATATCATGCTATGAAATTTAACTTCAAAAAATCAGATAAATGTGGGATTTTTTTCAATTTGAGATATACATGGTTGGACACTAACAAAATTAATGTATGTGTCAATTTATTAAAATAAATTTCGGCTTACAAACTAAATGAATCATGATTTTAATTTATTTGAAATGATGCTATTTAATGGTTTGAAATTTTGACCGCGCGTCGCAACGCGGAAAAATTAAAATTTATATTTTCCTCGACTAACCTCTACTAACTAGTAGTAGTGGCGAGCAAGGGTCGATCCCACGAGGAGTGTGAATCAAATCGAGAATTTTATCGTATTAATTGAAATTATAAAAAGCGATAAATGGGGGGGATTGGTTTAAAAACTAAACTTATTAAAAATCCTAATAAACAAAGAAAATAAAAATAAAATAGAATAAATAAAGAGAAGTTTCTAGTTCACGGTTCCGTCTACACCCTCGACTGGCTCGTCTAATCAATTCTGGTATCAAATCTCGCAATCTTATGAAATTACTAGCCCTAGGCAACGACACAGTCTGTTACCCAAATTTTTCCTTAATTTTAATTTAACCGCGAGACGCTCTACGATTAAACCTGACTTCTTGTACAGTCCAGAAAAACGTTTTCAAGATTTAATACAATTAGCCGCTTTACGAATTAGAAAAATAGGCTAGACTAAGTAGTAAACTCAACCACGTTCGTTCACTTAATTAGGCCATGTTATCCCCGGTAGTTACCATCTTCCGGTTACCTCTTATGAATTAAACACAACAACAATTACGGATTGCAGGTCTAATTCAGATGTAGATATGAAAAGCCTAATCTAGGTGATCAATCTAAATAAGACTAACACATCATGGTGAATTGTTCAAAATAACACAAGCAATTCCAAAACGATATTGAAATTGTCAACCACGTAAATTAATCAAACATCGTCAAGTCGTAAGGTTCAACATCACCGGAACTAGAAATAAAATCTACTCTAACATACTAAATAAAAATAAATTATAAATAAAAGAGAGAGATTAATTATCTCCCTCGTGTACGGGTGCGGCCTCCTTCCGCGATTGATCGAGCTCCTCGTATTTTTCCTCTGTCTGCGTCTTATTCCCGTATGCCTGGCTGCGTTCTTTTCTTTTCTATTTCTTCAATAATGATGGGTGGCTGCGTGGGTGTTACGATTTTATTTCCCCCAGGTATGTCTTTTTTTTCCTAAATAAAATGTGTGCCCTTTTTGTTTGTGTCAAAACAAATAAATCCTGATCTCTCTTTACGCCTGGTGATGTGAGTAAAAAAGATAAGCATGTTGTAGCTAGAAAACCTAGGAAAACCTTGAATGTAGGTGCTGGAATAATGAATATTGATTCTGATCTCTCTAAAACCTCTGGTTTAAATGAGAATAACAAAAGGGTGTTAGATCAGGAGTGTGATTATGAGGACCTTTTGAAATCTGATAGGAAAGATAAGAAAAAAATTAAAGTTGGAGATAATCTGTCGAATATTGAGGTGGAGGAAACCAGCCTAAACTGGTCCCAAGGTTTCCAATAAAAGCTTGTGTGTGGAATTGTAGAGGTTTGGGAGGACCCTCTACAATTTCCCAGCTTAAAGAAGCCTTGAGGCTCCACCTTCCCGATTTTGCTTTTCTATCTGAAGTTAAAAAAAAAAAAAATTTGTATTAACAGTATGTAAAAATCTTAAATTTGAGGATAGATGGCATTTTGTTGATCCGATAGGTAGTAAAGGAGGTCTTTTGCTCTGTTGGTCTGATAGGGTTAATATTGTAGAAGTGATTAGTTATCCTTTTTGTATAGAAGTCTGTTTTAATCTGGATAATAGGGGGATGAAAATGTGGGTTGTGTTCTTGCATGCTAGTAACTGTGAGGCTGAAAGAGAGATGCAGTGGAATTTGCTAATTAGACACAGTTTGTACTGGGGCCCTATCTGGTTTTTAGGGGGAGATTTTAATGCTATTATTTCCAATCAAGAGAAAAATGAGGGGAGGGTTAGAGAGGAAGGAACCTTTAAAGGGTTTAAGAACTTCATTCACTCTGTGGGGGCTGTAGACCTTGGTTTTATAGGACACCCTTTCACTTGGACTAATAATAGGAGAGGGGATCATGTTGTGGAAGAAAGAATTGATAGAATTTTAGCTTCCCCGGGTTGGAGTTTGGAGTTCCCAAATTCCTCAGTTAAGCACATTATGTTAGCTTCTTCTGACCACAGTCTCCTTTTGCTAGAAACAGAGGTGAAGGACAGGCAGAACAAAAAAAGATTTTACTTTGATGCTAGATGGGTAAAAAAAGAAGGCTATGAGGAAACTGTGGAAAAAGCTTGGAATGCTAATGTAGGAGGTCCTGTGCTATTTAGTCTGCAGAGCAGAATCAGAAATGTGAGATTAGCCTTGTTAGGTTGGAAAGCTTTGAATGTGCCCAATGCGGCCAAAGTGATCAAAGAGTGCAATGCTAAATTAGAAGCACTTGGTGAGAAGGGAGGTCAAAGAGATTGGATTGAATGGAAAAATTGTAGAGAGGAACTTCACCAGGCTTATAGAGAGGAGGAGCTATTTTAGAAACAGAAATCAAGAGTGCAATGGCTGAAAGAAGGGGACAAGAACACTAAATTTTTCCAAGCAGTTGTGAAGCAAAGGAGAAGGAAAAATTGTCTGGACAATCTTTTGAATAGTAGAGGACAAAAGTGTAAGGACTCTGCTGAGACTACATCTGAAGTCCTCAAATTTTTCAAGGAACTCTTCACTACTTCTAATCCTTTGCTTTATAACTGTGATTTGTCTGGTATCCCTGTTACTATTTCCGAGGACATGAATGATCAGTTAATCAAGCCGGTGGGGGAAGATGAGGTCAAAAAAGCCTTGTTTCAGATGAATCCTAATAAAGCCCCGGGCATTGATGGGATGACCCCCCTTTTTTTTCAATCCTCCTGGAATATTATTAAAGACCATTTGTGCCAGGCTGTAACCAATTTTTTCACTCATGGTAAAATCCCAAAATCCATTAATCATACTATTATTAGCCTTATTCCTAAAATTAAAAATTCCCAAAAAATTTCAGAATTTAGACCTATTAGTCTTTGTACAGTTCTTTATAAAATTATAGCTAAGGTTTTAGCTAATAGACTTCAGACTGTTTTGCCTAAATGTATCTCCACAACCCAATCAGCTTTTGTGTCTGGAAGGCAAATCCTAGACAATGCAGTTATTGCCAATGAATGTGTACATTTCATTAATAGCAAAAGAAAAGGTAAACAATGTTTTATGGCTCTCAAACTGGACATGGCTAAAGCCTATGACAGGGTTGAGTGGTCATTCCTTGCTTTGATATGTAAAAAAATGGGCTTCTGCCATAAGTTTGTGTCATGGCTGTTGGCATGCATGTGTTCTACTTCCTTTTCTTTCAATATCAATGGTACCCCCTCTGGTTTTTTGCTTCCTTCCAGAGGAATTAGGCAAGGGGACCCCTTGTCCCCTTACCTATTTATCATTTTGTCTGAAGCCTTATCTAACCTTATCCAGCAAGCTTGTATATATAAGTCTTTTGTAGGTATCAAAATTGGTAAATTTGCTCCCAGCATTAGCCATTTGTTCTTCGCTGATGATGTGATTATTTTTTGCAAAGCTGATATTTTGCATGCCTCATTGATCTCTGATATTCTGTCTTCCTATTGTGATTCTTCTGGCCAACAAGTCAACTTGAATAAATCTTCTGTATTCTTTTCCAAAAACACTCTGAGCAGATCTAAAGATGCTATATGCCAAATCCTGAATGGAGTCTCAATTGTCAGGTCATCCAATTACCTAGGTCTTCCCTAGGTATTGGAAGATCAAAAAGGGAGACTTTTAATTTTGTTAAAGAGAGAGTGCTTAGTAAAATCATGAGTTGGAAAAATAAGTTGTTGAGTGAAGCCGGAAAAGAAATATTGATCAAAACTGTGATTAGTTCCTTACCCACTTATATTATGTCTTGTTTCAAAATTCCAGTGTCAATTTGTCAGGATATTTGTAAGCTTGCTGCAGGGTTCTTGTGGGGAAAAAATATGGAAGGAAGGAACAGAGTACACTGGGCGAGCTGGGACAAAATGGCTAAACCAAAGCTTGAGGGAGGCCTAGGATTCAAGGATCTCAGTGCCTATAATGAAGCCCTCCTTGCAAAACAACTTTGGAGAGTTATCACTAAGCCAAACCTTCTGATGAGTAGAGTGATCAAGGGGAAGTACTTCAATAACAAGAGAATCTGGGAGGTGGAGATTAAAAACTCTGATTCTTGGCTCTGGAAGGGGAGGATGGGAGCTAGAAGGTGCCTGCAAATGGGAGTGAGGTTTCAGGTGGGTGATGGGAGAACAATCCAAATTTGGGACTCTCCATGGATCCCAAAACTTCCTACATTCAAGCCAACTTGTTACTTCAAGGACGATAAAACAAGGTTGCAGTGGGTCAATGATTTGATGTGTCAGGATGGGAAAAGATGGGACAGGGAACTGATTTTGCAAACCTTCAGTGCTTTTGAAGCAAAACACATCTTCCAGATCCCTCTCTCTTACCAGAACTATAGGGACAAAGTGGTTTGGGCTTTTGAAAGCAATGGACAATTTTCTGTCAAGAGTGCATATAAGGCATTAATCTCAGCTAAAGCAATCTTGGAAGGAAGACCAGAAGCAAGTAACCACAAGGAAAAGTCTAGAAAATTGTGGAAAGTAACATGGGGTCTACCTATCAAGAACAAGCTAAAGAATTTCTTGTGGAGGTGTTGGTATGGATATCTAGGTACTCTAACTCAACTTCAAAAGAAAGGAGGAATGAGAGAGGTGATATGCAACATATGTGGGGTGGAAGAAGAAGATTTAGAACATCTATTTTTTAGGTGCAGTAGAGCTAAAATGATATGGAAGTTAGCAGGTCTTGAGTGGACTGGAATTATAGAGAGAGGATATTCATTTAAAGATTGGTGGATGGAGATTTGTTGCTGTGATGTTTCAGATTGCCTAAGGAAAAGGATGGAGCTATCAACTTACCTACTATGGTGGCTCTGGAAAACCAGGAACAATTGGATTTTCAGAGGTGAATTATTGAATGAGAGGGAAACAGTGTGGAGGGCTTTGGAGGAGTGGGGGGAATTTCAAAAAATCTCTACCCCAGATGCTAGTATGGTAGGGCTTCATAGTATTGGAGTCAGTGCCTATTCAACTAGTGCTGATGGAGCAAGGTTCTTGGGGTTGGCTTGGACTGGTACATCAATAGTGCAACAATGGGAACAAGTAAGAGAGGCAATTTCTGATCCTATGAAGTTGTATTTGATGGCAATTAAATGGGTTCTGGGGCAGGCTGCTAATATTAATTGGAGAGAATTTGTTCTTAAGGTAGATGCTAAAGATGTTGTGGACAAGCTGCACAGCAGAGAATTTGATGGTCACCTACTCCCAATAACTGAGGACATCTACAGATTGTTAGATTCTCTCCAATGTAGTAACTTTACTTTTTATGTTAATATTAGTTGATCTTTTGTTTTTTGTACCCTGTGTGGTGTTGGAGGGGGAGGACCTGTGGTGTTACTCCCCCCACTAAGCTATGTTGCTGTTATGTAATAGTTAGCTTGGACTTGAGCTCAGTTGAGCTTTCGCATGTATATTTTTCTGAGTGAAATATATTTTATCCTTTTGCCGTGAAAAAAAAATAAATAAAAAAAAAATAAATCCTCCAAGTAAAGATGTCCAGCCACAAATTAATTCTCCATTGTCCAATGTTGCCCATCCAACCAACTTCACATTTTGGCCCACGTAAATTCATTACTTAGCCCAAATTAATCTTTCATCAAATTATAATCATGGCCCTAACTGGTGAGGAATATGATGACCAAATAATTCACCGCATTGACTTCCTTCCATTGGTCCCCGTCCACAAAATAATCCAATATCTAAAAATAAACCATAAATATATCATAGCACTTAAATCCATCTAATAAATAAATAAGTCAAAAAATATAATCGTGCAATTAAATTAAGCGTATAAAAATACCTATTAAAAATATAAAACGCGCACATTTTTCGACCTATCAAATCTCCCCAAACTTAAACATTGCTGTCCTCAAGCAACTTAGAACTTTAAGCACATAGATGGATAAGAAAACAAGTACGTGGAACTTTACTCAGGGCCTCACAATTCTCACATAAGTGCATAGCTTAAACAACTCAAATGAATTTATTCGGACTCAAGACGAATATATAGAAGGAACTCAAACAATCAAGTATCAATAAAAGTGACCACCATAGTTTGTCAATCTCTATAACGAATGCACCGATCAATGCAACTAATGGCACCCCTCTCTTTGCTAACAAGTCAAGTTCCCTTCCGTTTCTAGCCGAAGTCTAAATGTCTCATCCTCCACACTCTTTTTTTTTTCCTCTCTTTTTTTTTTTCTTTTTTTTTTAGAGTAGGGAACGGCAACTCCGTCACAACCCGTGAGTTTTAGCCTTTCGTGCTCGTCTAGATACGGAAATTATTGGAATTATACACTAGTGCCCCCACAGATTGGCAGCTGTTGCAGCCCATGCTTTTTTTTCTTTTTTTTTTGTACCAAACGGCTTTTCAACTCTACCAATTATTCCTCCATCCTCATTATTCTTTTTTTTCGACTATAAGACATAGAAACCCCAACTTTCAACTTCAAGTCCCCAAACTTAATCAACATTGATTAAAGCAATCACAAGCACATCTCAACAATACAAATCGCCTCAAAACCAACTCACTATAAATAAGTCACAAAAATATCAATCTTCATGCCTTTGTCCCCAAAATAAAAACACCTTAAGAATTTAACCAAATAAAATTAACTCAAGCCATTTAAACTAACACCATAAATCCAAACTGACTCTCATGTCATCATCGCAAAATTCCACGTACATGCAATCTCACGCTCACACAAGACAAACAAATATCATGCAATAATCTAAGAACTCAAACTCTAAGAGGCATAAATATAATCACATAATAAATCATGAATGCTCACCAATAAACCACCTCCCAAACTTAGAGTTTACATATATCATTGACACTCAAATAAATACAAAAGAACAAAAGCGGAGATAAAAGAAACGAGTTACCTTAGTCAATGCAGAAGAAGTCACCGAATCACGCACACCATTGGGTTGCCTCCCAACAAGCGCCTCTTTTTATTGTCGTTAGCCCGACTTATTGCTTCCTTTCATCAAAGGATCCATGACGGCTTCGAAGGTGGCCTCAAGGGAGCCACAAATCTCACCACACCATGCTTGACGACATCCCCTCTTTCCGACGTTGGATGTTTCACCGGATCTTTCCTCCATGACGCTAGTTCTTCAAGGATGTGTAGCAACCCACGTTCAATCACGGTCACCGCCTCAACAAAATCCCATTAACACCTTTCGTTTTGCTCGATCGTCTCAAGAGAAGGAATATCAAGGTTCAAGACATGCTTCAGTGCATCCTTGCTCAATACCCACTTCATATTGGAATACATAGAACACGGTTCAGCTTCTATCGGCACAAGAGTGGGAAGAACGGCACGTTTTTCACTCTCATTCTTCTTGATATTTGTGATTTTCTCGTTCTCCGGCTCGTGTGTGCACTCTTCAAGTTCCTCTAGGTCCTCGCTGTACGAATGGATGACGCTCGAACTCATTGGACTCGTTTCTAGCCGATACACTAGTCGGTCCATTTGTTCCGCCAATTGGCTCATTTGACCTTCTAAATTCTCTATGCTTAGTTCTTGGCTCTTAAGGCTCGTCTGAACACCTTGCTGAAATTTAAGGGTGTTCAACGTCAATTCCTTCATCATATCCTCGAGAGACGGACCAGGATCGCTCTCAACAAATGGCTCGGAGTGTTCTTGCAGAAATCTAAACGTGTGAGCCTCTAGTGCCTTCACCATATCCTTGAGCGATGGGCTGGGAAATCTCTCAACTAAAGGCTCAGAGTACTCATGGAAAGAGTTCGAGTGCTCTCTCAAGCGGTATTCATACCCATCAGGATAGAAGTAATCTTGTTCGTCTTTTTGCCAACCACTATGTCCTCTTACGCCTCAATCTCCAATCCACGGACCTTATATCTCCCTCTCATACTGGTAAGGTGCACGGTGGGAATAAAAATCGTGGTAATAGGCTGTCATCTCGAAAAGTTACGCCAAGATCGATAAAAAACGCCAAAATTCAAGTTACTCCCAAGTGTATGGGGGCGAACTATTCTGTCCAGAAGAGTACGGGGGCACCCAGTATTCTGTCAACAAATAAAAATAATAATAATAAACAAGGAAAAAGGGGTAAAAGATGATAAAATAAAATCCTAAAACAAAACTCAATTAGTACTAAAAATATCACAATTCAATAACGCCACTCCCCGGCAAGGGCGCCAAAATTTTGCCGCGTTGCGACGCGCGGTCAGCAATGCGTTTGGATTGGTTTTGATTTGTTTTCCTAACTATTTGCAGATTGATGTCAAACAAAATATTTATCTGATATTCTTAACAAAATATTACTGCACGGAATAGTAACCAAAACTAATAAAATTGGTTACATAAAAATAACGATTAGAATTGATTGAAATCTCATACTTTATGCAGCGAAATTTATGTTGGTGTTTGGAAGGAACAATAACCAAAATTAATCAAATTGGTTAAAAAAATTGAATCTCAGATTTTTTAGCTCAACGTTTCACCGTTCACGTGATTACTGCACGAAATAGTAACAGAAATTAATCAGATTGGTTACCAGAAAATAAGGATTCAAAGAATCTCAGATTTTTTACAGAAAGATATAACGTGATTTTACCTTAAATCATCAATTTCTTTACCAAAGAAAGATCACCAAAATTTTGGTAATGAAATTCTCTAACAGTCTCTACCAAACGCGTGCAATTCGTTGAAAGGATTTTTAAAAGATTGCTATAATTAATATGTCAATATGGTTGACTCATTATTTTTTAAAAGTTTTTACAAATGATTTATTGACCTACCTTTTTCAATATATATAGATTTTAGACCAAGTAGCCGTGGCCAAATCCACATTTTTGGACCATGTTTTTTGGGGCCCTGAACTGGGCGGTAATAACATAAGCCAGTTCAATGAACCAGTCCACAAATTTTGGGCCTAATCATTTAGGGGGTGATTGGATATGAATTCAACTAGTAAAAAACTAATTTTTTTTAACTATAGTTAAGTTTGAAAAAAACGTAGTATGGTTAGTTGTTAGTGGATATATTAAAATAATATTTAAATTAAAATAATTAAAGTTGATTTGATGTAAAAGTAGGAGAAAATGATTGGAAGTGATGGTTAGTTAAAATTATGTAAGTGGGTGAATAGTGAATTAAAGTTGATGTGATGTGTTAATGATTGTTTGATATTATTTAATTATATTGATAATATTGAAGATAGTGGAGTTGAGTTAAATTTGAGTTTTGAGTGGGATATTTACTGTACAAATTATAAACAATCACGCCCTTAATTTTACAAAAAAAATCATCAAACCGTCAGTTTCAATTCGAAACTGGGATCGACATTTTAATTTGTAAAAATTCATGAAACTCAACGTGTAAACCCACAGGCCGGACTAGGTTCGGACGGCTACATTGTAGTAGCTGTTTTGGTTTTCTTGTTTTGTGGTCTTTTATTGTCTTGTATCGGGGACTAGGTTCTTTGGTTCAGTGGTCCCTTAAGTATTTGTGGTTTGATTGTGTTGTCGTGTGTTTGTGTGGGTAAGTTGATCTAAAGGTGTCGAATCGTTGGATTTGCCTTTAGGTGTGTATTGTCATTAGGTGATTTTAGGCCACCATTGGAGTGGTTCTCTTGTATTTTGTTAGTTTTTTTCTGTGTCAGGTTTGTAAGAGCTAGTGAGCTCTCCGAATTATGTACTTCTTTTTTCATCTATGAGATTACCTATCGTTTGAAAAAAAAAAAAAAGNCACGGGACGGAGCGAGTGGAACTCTTGCTTGTTTGATGCTTTCAATGTAATAAGCTTAAACGGGTCGGGGCCGATTCGGGCCGTGGTAATGTCTTAGACCAAGCATGGGCCTTAAAAACTGTGGCTCAAGCGTATCGACCAACACGATACAGTAACCAAGGGCAAAAAATGGAAAATGAAAATCAACTCTATATAACCCTAACCTCAACTCTGTACCATTTTTCACGATCCATTAGCCCAAAAAAAATGAGGACACAGAGATCGAGATTTTCACCAAAGGGCGGTTGCTCGTCTCTGTACGCCAATGAATTTTTCCCAAAATCAACAGCCCTTTATTTCTGAGAAAAGAAAATGGAAAATATATAACATCAACTCGCTCTCTCATACACACACATACACACATACATATTGTAATTCTTCAGGGTTCTTGGATACAAATTTAGGGATGCTTGTATACAAATATTATCTGCAGATCTGCGATGGGTTTGGGGATTAGGGTTTTCGGAGGCTGTGATGATACCTGGTTGGTTTTTGCTAAATTATGGGCTAATGGATCGGGCAGAGGAAATAATTCGACCCGTATCTTGGCGGGGCAGGCCGGACGGCGTTGTGGCTTGGTCGCATCGCAACCGGTTGATATGCAGCCATGGCGGTGTTGATTTCTCCTCATGTCTCTTTAACAGATCTGAGCCTCCAATTTCTTTTAACTTTTCATTTTTTTTTTCTTTTTCTTTTATTATTGGCTGTGGTTTTAATTCGAAATACTTTTTTTGTTTTCTGTTACAAAATTATTTGATATGCTCTTTTTTTGTCAAATTTATAAATTTGATATCAGGTATGAGAAACGAAAATATATGAATTTAAAGTATTAAAATGTAAACATAGTGAGTTTTAGTGGTGTAGCTTCCAGATCAATTTGATATATTTTAAGGTATCAAACTAAAAATCTAAAAAATGGGAGTATAAAATTAAAGTTTTCTGGCCCCTATAGTTTATTACTGAGTTTTATTTAGGGCTGACATTTTTTAATCGAAAATCGAATCGAACCAAATTGAATCGAGGAAAAAATAAATCGAACCGTATCGAACCGCTTGTAACGGTAACTGACTATTGGTTATCGAATCACTATCGGTACGGTATCGGTTTGAACCCATAAGAGTTCGGTAAAATTGATACCGAACCGATAACTGTAAAAAAAAAATAAAACAAAGATTTTTTTTTAAATATTAAAACAATGATTAGTTGTTTAGTGTTCAAAAATTGAAATAAGGGCTCAATTCTACCTAAATCTCAACATGACGAGAAAAATACCATTACTCATCGCCTCATTCACCTTTTAATCGGAACATTGTTGGTTTACCAGTCTCACTTCTTTTAAAGAAGATGCATGCTACCGTTATTGTAGTCTATTCTCGTACCACTGTTACTAGATAAGTTAGTTGAAGTTGTATCACAAATTTTATTTCTTGCATGTTAGGAATATATTGTTTTATTAGTTGCGTTTACCACAAAAACCATAATCTAATAATATATAAACTAACTTCTATACATTAAATTTAAGCTTTTTAATCCTTCAATGGATTGTGAGTCTTTTGTTTGTATTTAATTGGTAAGAAGTGAAAAAAATTACAAAAATGACGAGAAAAGTAAACACTAGCAATTTTTTTTTTTGTACTCAAAATCGATTCGGTTTTTTTGGTATAAAACCGAAACCGAACTGAGTTTTCGGTTACCCAATTTTCGGTAACCGACTTTAATTGGTTCGGTATCGGTTTTGCATTCCGAGGTTATCGACATTATCGGTACGATATTGGTATACGCTTATCGGTTCAGTAACCGAACCGATACCACCCCTAGTTTTATTAGTTTACGTTTGGGACTGTGGAACTAATAATCAGTGTTCTAAAAGTCGCTAGGCGCCCGCTAGGCGCTCTACCAGCGCCTAGTGCCTAGAGCGCCTAGTCGGGGCCCAGAAATCAATATTAAATACCTTATTTTTTATTTATTTTAACTACCTACAAAATAAAACTATCTCAACTTATAATAAATTCACACACCAAAGTCCAAATAATAATATTAATATATATTAAAGAAAACATGAGAACAAAATAATGTAATTAGTATTTAAAAAAATAAAAAAATTAAAAAAAAAACTGAAAAATTGCCGTCTAGGAGCGCCGAGGTCCGCCTACGCCCGCCTAGACGCCGCCAAGCCCGCCTAGGAGCGCCTAGGGCCGCCTAGCCGCCTGGCCGATTTTTTCTGTCGATTTGTACAAATCGGAGGCGCCCGGGCACCGCCTAACGCCTAGGCCGATTTTTAGAACAGTGCTAATAATACATATTTAGTAAATTAAATTACGCTAAATTATTGGTATAATTAAATATTAATTATTCATTTTTATAATTATGTTAACTTTAATTCATCATTTATTCAATTGCATATTTTTAATCATTCATCACTTTTTACAAACTTGTACAGTATAGTATTGAACACATCATTAATCATAAACGATTATCCTTCTTCAAAATAATTTATCTCAAATGCAAATAAGTTGGTCAACGTATTGCTCTCCTACTTACATGTGTTCATGTTTCACCTTAAGAACAATTAGTATTCCCCTTACATGTCTTCATGTTTCACCTTAAGACCTTGGGTTTGAGTTTGAGTCTCGGTATTCCCCTTGATGGACTCTCTCTAGGATAGCCGCTTCGTTTTCACTCCTTAGGTGATCTGGTAAGAAAGCAGAAAGCAATCTCTCTTCTTACTATAGGTGAATCTGTCCCTTTGGCATGAGCAAGCTTAGTCAAGTAGGGCGTTAGCGGCAAGTTGAGACAAATAAAAATTATAATTATATGTATATATACAATATTTAAAATTTTAAATTAAATAATGGATGTATTACATTTTAAATTAAATATAAATTATTTAACTTGCATGTGAATCTTTATATTGATGACATAAATTTTAATGAACAATGTAATTTTGTAATTTAGAGGGACCATACGATTAATTAGTTAGAAAAGTATTATAACTATTTTTAGTGTTGTAACAGTAATTACTTATGTAATTTTAAGGAGTTTAATTATAACACTCATGTGAATCAATTAATATTAGAGAAAAACCACTTAATAAGACGAAAAATAATATTTATTATAAAATAAGTATCTTAATAAAATAAATTGCAATACAATTTTTTATAAGTATGTAACTTTCATATACTATTAATTTAATGTAAAATTATAATTAGCTAGTATTAGTAGTAATTATTACATAATGAATTAATTTAAATTATTATTACACTTCATTAATGTATAATGTAACAGTTCCACATTTGAGCGGGAAAAAGAAGAGAGGTTATATAGATTTCAAATTGGATGCAAATTAGTATTTTTTTTTATTGAATTAAATAAATATATATTGGCCAAAAAATAAACACTTACTCTAAATTCATGATGGAAAACACAATCATTTGAGTTGGAATCCCTTCACTTGCTTCATTTGAATTGGTGGACAACCAATTCAATTACATCTAAAAAGTGAAATTAATTAAAATGAAAGATTCTTATTATTCGAACTAATTTGAATAATTTTAATCAAGATACATTACACAAATTAAAAAAATTGACTTACTGGATATGATATATTTATCAACATCATCGATGTTAGACAAAATGAGAAAACTCATAAAGTCGAAGCAATAGGTGGGAAAATCAACAGTATACTTATAATGCTTAGTTTGACAATGAAGGACGATTCAATATTTGCCAATAGTTGACTTTTACAGACCAATGTTGCTCTCAACTTGATAGTTTTTTATAGCATAAATTTCACATTCCTCAAATTCGTTGACAAAATTAGCAATGTTGAGCGAACAAATTATGCTAGTGATACGACCACCTTATAAATCACGAATTTGTGTAAGAATAATAATAAATATAATGTGAGGTAGCAATTTTAATGGACGTACCTCTTGATCATGAAATATGATCTCAAGAACATTCTTGTATGACTGAGATTTGTTTGTCCTTTAAATATACCTACAATTCGCAGTTTGAGCAAAGTGCGGTTCGTCCTTCTAATATCTTTAATGCGACCCCATGCGTAAGTCATCTTGAAAACGTGTATGTTGGTGAGTTTATGTGCTAATTTGCGAGATGTGTGATGTTCGTTGGTGAGCTTATGTATACCGAATTATATCCTACTTATAAATGCCACTCCACATCATTGATTCTAATAAATATGATAAAATAACAAAGAATCCTTCACAAATGAGAATTTCAAAATTGGCGCCATATAAATTTAAATAGCGATGGTCCCACTAGGTGTGCCAGAAATTTATAACTATAAAATTTATGAAAAACATAAAACTTTTGTACAAATTAATTTTATTTTGATCAAATGATATGCAGGTACAATCTCTATATGAACCATCTGATTCTTCTCTTCATGGACTTCGATTTGATCTTCAAATGGATTTGACACTTGGATCTTCTTTGGGTTTGATCTTGAATTTCTCTAAAATTAATTTGAGGGTCGAATGGCTTATTTCCCAATCAAATGTTAGGACTTGATTTGATTGAAGACGACTTCTTGACGGTCTTTCTTATTTGATCCTTCTTGGAGAGAGACTTGTACTTGAACGTCGGTCTTCAACTTGAATGACTTGGATCCTTAAGAACACCTTTGGATCTTCAAGAGAATTATGAGAGTTCTTGAACTTAAGACTTTGATTTATGGGATTTGTGGCTTTGAAGATAGCCTTATTTATAGGTGTATGAGGGGAATCTAGAATAGGACATCAATTTGATTGGTCCTCCATGATTTGATATAATCTCTTTCATTATCCTAAAATTTGAGTTGGCGAACAAGAAATATTTACTTTATTAATTAAATATCTTATTTATGTTGAATTTATGTCTAAAAATAAATAAAAACATTAACTAATAAAATATTAAAATTTCGATGTCAATATAAACAATGAAGGAAACTTACTCTTGGTTAAGATTCTGAAGACTCACGACCAAAGGGATTGAGTCATATATTCAGAAGTCTTTGTTTTTGTATTGTAACAATTGGGAGAGGGAGCTCGACCTGTATTGGGTATTCTGAGAGTTTTGAGAGCTCATATTTTTATAGGTTTAGTCGAGCTTAAATTCGTGTTCTTACAGGCTAAAAAGTATACACTTATAACTTTTCTGTATTTCTCATAACACGTGGGATATATAACTGTTCTTGTGCCTATAGAGGGATCCACTATAGGTTCTTAAGTCCCCGTATTTGCCAGAAAAAGTGACTAGAGAAGTGAGAGTAGGATTAGAAGGACATTATGGTCTCGTAAATCTATACTATGCTTCGTGCGCCCAATCATTTACCAATGATAGAATTTTGAGAAAGGCGGTATTCTTCCTCAGGAAAATCTTGTTTAATCGGTTCTGCACTTTGTTTCATATTGTTACATAAAAGTCACTTATGCGGTCCTTGCATGCTTCACATAGGTTGATTAAGAACAAATAATGATACAATAAAAAAACAAAAGAGAGAATTAAATTATTATAACTATTATATTATGCTCCAAATGTACCTGACCATCTTTATAGTGTGGATAAGAACTTCATTTCTAACGACCGGTAAACTCAAACAGAAATGCATTCCTGAGAGTATCTCCAATGGCACAATATCTATTTTGATATGCATGTTGTGGAGAAAAGAAATAAAAACTCCAATGGTGGATGCCATTTCTAGAATAAATTGACATGAATAAGACAATAATTAGTTTGTGGAGAGATAAATATATAATAAATAATATTATATAGGATAGAAGATGTCTAGAAGTCATTCTGCATCTAGAAAGACTTCTAGAAATTTACATGCCACATTGGATTTTTTGGGTCATGTACCAATGGAATAGAACAATGCACAAACCATTGGGGATGCTCTTTGAGTGTGATTGGATATAAATTCTACAGTAGAAAGATTAATAAAAACTCAAACTTAACTCAATCTTAACCAACCACACTATCCTTCATATTATCAATATAAATTAAATATTATCAATCAATCATTTTTGATTTTACACATCACATCAACTTTAATTCGTTATTCATCCACTCACATAATTTTAAGTAACCATCACTTCCAATCATTTTTCTTATAATTTTACATCAAATCAGCTTTATTTATTTTATTTTAAATAATATTTTAATATACTCACTAACACCTAACTATACCATATTTTTTAAAAATTAACTATAGTTAGAAAAAACCATTAAAAAATCGATCAAATTCATATCCAATCAACCTACATAAGATCAGGAAAATAATTAATTAAACAATCCCATGTATTTGTTGTATAAGTCTTTTTTTTTTTTTGGAAAAGAAGAAGGCAGAGCCTAAGAACTTGAGTTACACACGTTTCACAAGTAAGAAACACCAGTGAGGTCATGTTCTAACCACGGTCTAACACCATCTGGAGGGCCGATAAAGAACTGTACCCCAAGGATCCTTCCGCAGCGAAAGAAGCCACATGATCGGCTGGAAAGTTCGCTTCGCGAAATACATGAGCTCTTTAACGTCGTGGAAAATCTCCCAACAGTCACATTATCCACTTTGGCTTGAACTCGTCTAAACCCCAAGTCCCATGCCAAAGTAAGTCCCCCAAATAATCCCTATAACTCCGCTGCCATTATCGAGCAGAACCCAATTTTATTGTAGCAGGTATCTAAGCGATTCCATTATGCTCATCCGATATAAGTACTAGGATATAAGTATCATAAGCTAAAGAAGCTAAGCAAGGATTTTTCTTGTAATAAATTGTTCAATATCTATATACTTTTCCAGTTCACACACCATTTCACCTGAATAAAGCTCCCAAATCCATACCACAAACCATCTTCCTGCACGAAAATGAACAAGCTCTCCACCCTCAACTCATTCTTGTTTTTCCTTCTACTCCTAATAACGGTATCTTACCCGACCAATGGCTCGAAAACCGAAACCATTGCCAATCCCAATCCCGAACTCGTTAAGCTCCCGTTTGTCATCATAGTCACCGATGACGTCATCCGCAAAATTTTCCATATAATTTAACGTGTCATGAACACATTTATGAAATTTTTCCCAAGCACCCAAATGTACAAGAAAAACCACACATATATATTTAACATGCACATCATGAACACACATCATTCTTCTCATAAACACTACTTGCCGATGATTTTCCTAATAGTAATACTCCTCACCACATTTTCCAATTATGCAAGCCCGGCCCCACTTTACCCGGTCGTGACACCTGTCATCATCGACTCCATCTGCGCCAAAGCCTCGAACCGGACCCTCTGCCGGGCCGTGCTCGGGCCCGCGATCGGGCGCGGCATTCTTTTCAACCCGACCCTCGTCTTGTGTGGGCCCCCAATTCGGATAGCCCGATCTAGCGCCATGCAGGCGCGCGGCCTAGCGTGGAGCCTCGAGAAAAACACGAACACGACCGAACGAGCGCGGAGAAAGTACGGAATGTGTTTTTTGAGTTATAAAGGGGTGTTGGATAAACTCGGTAAGGCCGAATTGTATATGCATTTAAAAGTGCAGACGATGACGAAGAACGTGAGGTGAGAGGTTGGGCTTGTATGGGGCCATGTGGAGTCGTGTGATAAGGAGCTCGTGGGCCCGCCTCGCGATGGGTCGGGTGTTTTGGAAGCTAATGGTCGGATTAAGGACCTCTGTAGTATTGTCCTGGCTGTTTGTGATTTCCTAATCAACGGTCGAAAATGAGTCCTAATGATTTGTTGTCATGTGAAAGAATATTTCTGGAGGTAAATGGATTTGAGGCATTTACTTCTTTAATCTATTGGAGAAATGGAATTTAAAATTTTCAAGAAAATAATCTTTATAAGAAAGGTAACGAAAGCAGAGGGATGGATTTATATTCTTGAATACATTATTATTTTACAAAAGCCTATAACTTTGGTATAAGACTTGTAGATGTGTAAGATTTAATTAGGCTCATATATGATAAAAGCACTGCCAGGATAAGTACATATCACAAGATTATAAATAAAAGCAAACTGGATTTTTGTTGTAGTAAAATGTTCATCAATGTATTTTTCCAGTTTCATGCACCATTTCACCTATATTTCTAAAGTATACATATTATTTTGCTGGAAATATTTCACCTTTTTAGTCAAGGAAATGAAAGTTGAATACTTTTGCAATCAATCAACTTCTACGGAAAAGAAAGGGGAAAAGGGCAAAAGTGATGAGCCATCTATATTTTCATGAATCAAATACTTTTGTATATATAGTACAAATCAAGCCATTTAAAATGCGAACTTTGGAGTCGAACTCGCCAGGATAAAGTCCATTGCTAGTGAGCTCGATTAAATATAGCTCAACTTATTAATTTGCTATCCTAATTATAGGGTCGACTTATTAATTTAACTAAGCACAATAGAGCTCATGCTATCATACCTAATGCATAAAATTATTGAAATTATTAACATGTGATTGAAATTGTCAATTCAAATATATTATAGAACTTGGTAATTTATTTGAATTATTATAGAATTGCTTACTGATATTGCAGTCCATTCAATGGGATCTAATTGCATATACAGGCATTTTGTAATTAATACTGGTGTATTAATGAAAACGTACAGTAAATAATGTATGTCAAACCTTAAATGGGTAGCAGTATCTATGCAAGAAGACCACTGGCCCAGGGTGTGATCAATAAATGTTGTAAAAAACAAAGATTACGTTTTCAGTCTGTTTTTTCATGCATTAAGATCAGTTTTGCTATGGAGGTTCGACTTATGGAGCCATCCACACTTATTCATTAATAGTGTATTGACACGTGTCCTGCAATAAATACAATTTGGACATGTGTCAATACATTAAGTGGTGGATGGCTCCATAGAATTTTTGGCATTAAGATATATATAACTAATTATACTCCGTGCATTTGTACGAAAAACGATACTCCCTCCTATTTTTAATAAATGTCGTTTTGAGAAGTTGCACAGTTGGTCGTGTTGTCGTAGGCACCCAAATTAACCTTGCTTAAAAATATGTAGTAGTGTGACCAAGGATCGTATCCACGAGGCGAAGTAAATGAAATCTATCAACTATGTGATTAAAAAGGGGGGATTTGATGTGATTATCTAACTCAACTAAAATTACATATCAAATAATAAATAAAAATAATAATAAAATAAAACTCAATAAACGAAAATAAATATAATATGAATATGCCTTGGTTGAATTGATTTCCACCCTCGACTATTCCACTGATCACTAATGCATAAATATAAACTCACAATTCACGCAACTGTCGTTGAATACAAATTCTTTCTCCTAATTTAGTCACGCAGAATAAATCCTTCTACGAGACTCTTATAACTAGTTAATTCCCAACATCGTGAAGAATTTTTCTAGCAATAGCATTAAATACAAGAGATCGACAGTCCAAGCAACAAATAACTAATCCGTTAAATATTAACTTGTTCAATTGTTTTGCCTAAGAACGATAACGCCTAAATCCGGTCAATTATCTATCTTAGTTGCTTCTAATGAAAGACACATGATCAAAATCCGACTCAAGTATCAATCAAGCAATAGATCGTACGTGAAGAATAACAGGTGGCCAATCCATCAACTACACATAACAATCATAAAAATATGCACACGAAACATTGATGCGAAAAATATATGAATTGGAATAAAAACTAATTCGATCTCATAGTAGTAGGTCTGGGGTTTCGATCGTCTCCAACCAAGACAAAGATAAATTAGCCGCGCAGGGCTATCATAATCCAAGAGAAAAGAAAAAAAAAATAATGATAAAGATAGAGTGAATGAGAGCAGCCCTCGGATCCGCCGCCTCTGCTGCTTGCGTCCTTCTGCTCCCCCCAGCAGATCTATTCTGCTTGCTGTTACGTATGATGTAGGTTTAGTATTCTATTAGGCTTAATTAATTTGGGCCTAGTTGAGAAGTTTGTTCCAGAATTACACAAACATGGCCATGTCACAGTATCAAGGCAAAACCAACACTGCCATGTTAGTTGTATTTAATCTTGTAGTCAGAAGCAGCCTAATATGCTACGGCAGTACCTCTTAGCAATCCCCACTGATTCCTTGTTCAGCCTCATCCATAATTTAATATGCTTAAGGACCTTCAAACTGCATAAAAACACAAACAACGATAGTCTCTGCTCGAAAAAGCAAGATAATGTCAAACATATATCAATTGAACTCAAATGTTAAATATAAATCATAAATTAATCCACTATATCGACACATATTTTTGACTTATCAACAGTAATTAAGAATATTTTTTTTGTCAATAATAACTTTTATTAATGAGGATAGAGATCGATGTTTTGAGAAAAAATAGAGAGTGAATATGAAAAGACGTATTGTATTTATTAGTTAGACGAGGGTAATAATGGAAAAATATGTACAAAATAGCCAAAACGACATTTATTTAACAAATAATCAATTAAGCTAGAATGCAAATAATAAAAATAGGAGGGAGTATAATAAAAGAGAAAGTAATTAAAAATACATAATATAATAAAAATCATACAGAAAATTTTTTTTAAAAAACTAATCTAAATATTTCTAAACACTTCTTTATATGCAACAGTCGTGATTTTCCCCATCACAACAAATCATTATCGTTAACTCTCTTCGACTCGTGACTCTGGAATTTGATTTTTAAAATATTTGATGTTTCTTTGTAATATCCCAAAAAATATTTTTTTATTATTGTATGACAACGATGGAATTGGAGATATTTGTAGTTATTCTTAATTAATTGTGAAATATATATTTATATGATACCAAAAAATATATAGTATTAATATAAATAAATATTTTGTATTTCAGGACATGAAAAGACGTTACAGAAATTGGCACTATCCAAAATGGGATCTATAAAAATAAATTGTGTAACTGAAAGTTACATATTATTATTAAATGGTGAACATATTTTTATTAAATGAACTCATATTATTATTAAATGTTGGCTGAATAAAATTTATTGAAACTTGCCAGCAATTATATATATATAGATAGTACTATATTTCTTTATTGGTTATATATTTAATTAGTTAAGTAACTCTGTTAGTTCAAATTAAATGTCTCCATACATTACTATATAGTACTGGTATCATGTTACACACTTACATGGAAAGAAGCACCAAATGCATTGCTAATAAACAAGTTCCTAGTGTTGTTGACATGTTGGGTATTGTGCTTTGTTTGAAAAACTTTTGAATTTTCATGCATTTCAATAAAATTTTTTCAACGCTAATTCAAACTTACAGTTTGAATTTTTGAAAAAAAAAAAAACTTGTCTGAAAAAGTGAGATTAAAACGTAAAAGTTAGATAAATTTTAGATTATGAGTGATATGAGATAACAAAGTATATGATTAAAATTGATAATATGAGTGAAATATAATTATGAGTGAAATATCAATCGAAGTTAGAATATGTGACTGAATGAATAATTATTTTGTTACAAAATATATAATAATAATTACTTTTAATTTTTTTAGTTGTGTTAATATATTTTTTTGGGAAAAAATGAGATGGTGTGGATAATATTTATTTTTTTTATTTCAATATCAGTGAGATAAATCTCACATGAACAAACAAAAGGAAAAATGTATGTATCCAATGGCAACATAATGTTTTGAAGTTACTTTTATGTTCACAACACAGGTTTGTACCATTTACAAATAAATAATGTACGTCAGTACGTGTACAAAGTGTGAATTAAAATACAATAATTGATGAAAAAAAAAAAATTACAACAAATGTTCATCAGCTCTATAGTTGACTCTTATCCAGAAACACAACCACAAGAGTCGAATAAAATGTTCACTTTTTATAAGGAAAAATATGTCTGTTTTTTTTTTATGTGCTAGTCAAATGTACACAACATTGACCACTCATGAGTCATGACTCATGAATAACCGAATAGGTCAGTTCTGTATTTCATTTTAAATTTCAACAACCCAAATAAAATTGAGATTTACAATTACAAAATACAACTTTTGATTTCATGAGAAAATCTAGTACTAAGTTGTGTAATTAAACACTTACGGACTGTATTAAGTAGACTTTACAGTTAGACAACAATATATATGTTGAAACGCCCATAATTTTTCACCATAGTGACATAATTTCAAATTAAAATTTAATATCTTTAAAATAATATAAATAAAAGTATGATATTCTATAATATAAATATGTATTTTTGTCATCAATTTTTTACGTATCGACCGACTAATAGATTATGTCGTTTTATATAAAAATTTGTGTGCTCGAATATATAGCAACATAGTGTGGGGCCCACTCAAATAGAGGGATCCAATGCCAATGCATGCTGTGATATTATCTTAGGGTATATACATATTTTATCTGCACTAACTTTATAGATTTCATTGTATAATTGTCGNACTACAAAAAGAAGAAAAAGATAAAACACAGTACACACAGTTGTGCAGTCAGTTCGACTTTTACAGAACTACACACTACAAACATACACAATCAAATCATTTAATTTCATAAATGAATAATGAGGACTTTTTATTGAAGACTTTCTACTAAGAAAAAACCACACTTTTATAATGGTACTTTTTTGTTATGTGTTCACGTGATTATTTCACTAAAAAATGTCATTTTTATTGAGCATGTTTATTTATAAAAATTTGTGGCTTTGTTTGAATTTTTTTATTTAGTTTGGTTAATTTTAAAAAGGTAGTATGGTCAGTTATTAGTGGGTACTGGGTATATTAAAATAATATTAAAATAAAATAATTGAAATTGATTTGATGTAAAAGTAGGAGAGAGATTTTAAGTGATGGTTAGTTAAAATAATATGAATAGATGAATAGTGAATTAAGGTTGATGTGATGTGTATTAATGATTAAATGATATTATTTAATTATATTGATAGTTTTGATGATAGTGAGGTTGAGTTAAAGTTGAGTTAAAAAAGAGTAGTCGAGTTAAAATGTTGGAAAATTTTTAAAAAATTTCATAAACAAACATGCTCGTTTTTTCTTATTGTGAAATATCATGTTTTAAAAAACAATATAATTATTTGCTTTTAAAGTTAATATCTTTTTTACTTAGCTATCTTTTCATGTTTGTGTTGACCTAATTCCATTATTATATAACATTTCAAAGATTGAACCATAAAAATTATGTTATTTTCCCATGATCTTTATGAATTAAGAGAGAACAGCTTCTATTCTTTTGTGGAAATTAAACTATGCAGAATTGGATATACATCCAACTCCACTTTAAGTCTTTAATCAAATTTTACTTCTAAAATTTTCAATATAAAATTAATTAGCTGTGATGTGATAGATTAATAGTTAAATAATAACTGAATATTTATAGATACATGAATTGATAAATAGTAAATTTTAATAAAAATATTTATTAATAATTATTTTTTAATTGAAAATTTGTATTGAAAATTGTGGCTTGAAGAAGAGAAAAGGTGAAGCAGATAAATTAAGAGAATATCCAATTTCAGTTAAAAATAACAATCACGAATGGGAAAAAAAGGAGAGACTCCCAAAATTTGATATAACTAGTATTTGATCATGTGCATTATCACATAATATAAAATACGTTTTGTTTGTATTAATTAATTAGACATGTACTTCTATCATATAAAAATTATTACTTTTTCTTAAGTTATTTTTATCATTCAAAATTAATTGAAATTTAAATTTTATTTTAACCATGCAACATTTACATTAGTAACATAAATAAAACAATTTATATATTTGTGGCATATATTAAGAAAATTAACATAAATAAAAAAAATTATTGGTGTTTTTGAGTTTTAGAAAAAAAAAAATGGGTCAATCGTATTTTTCTTCCAACAATGCAACCAAATATAACAGTTACAGCTCTGAATGTGTCAATCAACTTTAAGTTCCAACATCCGTTACACATTTGAATATTTTGCAACCAAATTTAGAATTAATTTAGTAACTGATCCAAAAAATAAATAATAAAAATATATATAGTAAGGTGTAACTGTTTTAACAGATTAGTGAGTAAGTAATTAAAAAAATGTAATTATTTTTTGAGGGAAATGAAAATAAGTTTTATTAAATATGTTATTAATCCATAATTGTTTTTTCTTGTTTAATTCAACTGAAGTTTTTTTGAAGGGCTATCTCGGTACCCCCTGACACCCTATCCCCAAAGTTCCATTAATTCTTGAGCCAACATTCA